AATACCTTAATGAAATAACTTATTGCTATTTTATATATTTTTATATTATAAACAGAAATACCTTCGCATATAACTGCGTAATAATCATGAATATACTAAGGTACCAAGAGCAGCAGTAAAAAACTGCTTAAACAAAAATAGAACTTTGATTTCCTCAAGACATCCATCGTAAAATTCTCTCATAATCAAATTGTAAGGATGTATGATGGTATATTGGGGTATAAGAAAGATAGCTGTTGCAAAAAATCCAGAATGATGACATTTAATCAAAATTTTGGTATTCGTTGATATATAATTATATCATCGATTATCAAAACTATAATACCACCATGTTGTCAAACGGATTTTTCATTGGTAATTGTCGCATCCTTTTATTATAATAGATAAACTTATAATAAATTTTGGATAACCGATGTATTTTTTTATACTATCATTGTTGTTATAATATCTATTATTTATGTTGACCTGTGACAGTGAGATAAATCTATAGCACAAAATATTTAAAAATATTTCTGCGGTCATGATCTTCAAAACGTTTTTATAAAATTACTATATTTTTAGGTAATAATTCCATAAAATAATTTTTTTCTGAATTAAACTTTATTTACATTATGATTGGATCTTTTAAAAAGTTTAATTGCTTTCTCAAATTGTATTCCTGCAAATTGTGAGATCTTCAATACATAATTAAATTAGAGTTGCTTAATTAAATTTAATATACATAACAATACAATTATTACATGTAAATATGAATAATTAAATATAAAATTCACATATTGTAAATTATTTTACTGCTGGTAAGATGTCCAATAATTCTCTCCATCAAAGCCAAGAAAGTACAGAAAGCAATTCAGAAAATTCTATCGAACAAAATGTAAATTTGGATGCTTTACAAAAGTCCGCATCGAACGTATTTCACGTACAATGTACCTCTATACAAGAATTTAGCGAAGGTGGTTTTCATAAAGTGTACATCTTAAAGATGGAAGATGGTAAAGAATATATTGGAAGAGTAGCATTCCCTGTATATTCACAATGGAAGACAGAAAGTGAGGTAGCTGTTATGGAGTATATTCGTTTAAATTCGAACATCCCTGTTCCCAAAGTTTATTATTGGAATAGTTCTGTCAATAATCCGGTGGGAGCAAAATATATTTTAATGGAATATTTACCCGGCATTCGTCTTTGCGATATCTGGAGTGACCTCAGCATGGAAAAAAAAAAGATGTTTCTATTAAAAATTATTGACATTCAATTGGAACTTAAAAAACTTTCATTTTCAAAAATTGGTAGTATTTTTTTTGATGGCAAAAATGATCAATTTAAAATTTGTCATGTGATTGAAAGCGACTTTTTTACTGGTAAACGAGCAACTTTATCAGCCATGGAAAGAGGTCCTTTCGACACAACTAATGAATATATTTTAGCTTTTATTCGAAACCAGATCCTTTATCATTATACCTTTAAATCTATAGAACAACAAAAATACTGAATTCCAAAATATGAAGGATTTTATAAATTAGTTCCTAAATATTTTCCAGATGAAAGCAAAACCACGTTTTTAGTCAATGATGATGAAATCACAGGGGTTATCAATTGGGAATGTTCTGGCACATTTCCAATAGAGTGCCTATGTACTTTTCCAGTTTGGATAATTAACAATCAAATGATAGTTCAAACTAGCGAGAAGTCCGAGAAAAATGTAATACTACAGAAATATTTTCGCGAAGAAATGTCTCGTCGTAATCCTGATTTTATTCGCATATTTGACAATATAAATACAGATGAGGAAAAAAAAGAATTTTATTCCATAGTATTTAGTCAAGAAGTATGGAAAGTAGAAGATTTTTTTAATAAATTTGGAAATAGAATTTCTAAAGAATTATTCTAATTCAAATTATAATACTAGCATTGAAATAATGTGAATATTGATAGGTAGAGTGTCCAATTAAATTCAGTTTTTATTGTTTAAACAATAGAACAGAAATAATCTTGGATACTCTTATTGATCAGTTATAGTTATAATTTTGTTAATTCAGAACTAGGGTAGTTTAAAAAAATTTATTGTAATTAAAATGCGCTTATGGTAATAATTCAATTATAAATTTAATGGATATAAAATCTAATAAAAATTACAATTTTGTCAATTAAATTGTATTAAGAAATTTTCAAGAATATTATTGTTTTTAAAAAAATACCACAATCAAATATAAGAACATTTATTCTAAAAATATTTTAATAAAAAAATAACTCAAAACTTTATTTGGCATAAAAAAATTGTAATTATAATTAAATTATTAAAACTAAAAAACTTTTATATTAGAAAAATAAAGAAAATAAACTTTAGTTTTTTGTGTATCAATATTTTTGATTCTTAAGTATCACTCATAGTCAT